AATATTTACCAATGTGTGTCGTGTTACGCGTATGCCAGTCCCGGGCGACCACACACAATAATGTATCACTACTCTGATTCATTTACGCAATTGACATCGCTCACAACATTACATATGCATATATTATCCGCGGGCAATCATCCTGAACCCGAGGACATGTATTTTGTTGTAAGTAATATTAATAATTATGAAAATATCACATATTTCTGTATTATTTGACTGCTTCTGTCTGACAATGAAGAATGATAGTTTGTTTATAGTATCTTAGTACCCTATCTAACAAAACAGGAATTATTCATTCATTCAAATGGCTACAGACATATACATAGTACACGTACATTTATCATATACTTGTCATGTGCTGTTTTGCATATATGTGATACTGTTAGTTATTCATATATCATATCCCGGACCAACCCATATCCGCCCGGTACGCTCCATATCTATCCGGCACGCCCAGTTTTTCGTTTTACTTCCGGTTCACCACATTTAAGAAAAATCACGCCACAATCGCGCTCGATTTGTGTTAAAGATACTAATTTTGATGTAACAACAGTAGTAAATAATGAAAAGGTTATGGTATGATTATTTCCATATCCTGCCCCGTCACCCCTCGACCCATATCCGCCCTGAGGGTTGATATGGGGTATGATGGTCATATGATAACTACCCAATTAGGACAGTGTTGGGGCACCATTACTCAAGCACATCTTGCCAAGTGATCCCCTTTTGTACCAGCTTAATTTGTGGACGCCAATAATACACAATTTTACATGAAACTCGAAAATAACCAACCGTTGTACTAAAAAAGCAATAACTCTAGATGATATTTTGTATAAGTTTATTAAGGTTTTGTTGGTTAGGGGTTTAACCTCCTCACAACAGCTGAGACCATATCAAGGATATCTTACGGACGGTGCGATATTCACAGGTGATCATAATACCAATTCCATATCCTGTCCCGTATAAACCCGAGGCACTCATATCAGCCAGAGGGTTCATATGGGTCGAGGGTTGTTACGGGGAAGGAGATCCTTTTTTTATCATATGTTATACCTTTTTATCATTTACTACCCTTCAAAAATATCTTCGTAAAATATCAGAATTATTAGCAATAAAACAAATCGAGTGTCGATTTGTTTTCTTAAATCTGTTGAACCGGAAGTTAAACGGATATCGCGTCGCGCGGATATGGCACGTAGACTGAGGATATAGATTGATCCCGGATATGACCTTTACAGAGCTACCAGTATCGCACATGTAAAACAACCCATGTAAAGCACAAGTATATGATAATGGATTCTATTAGTTCGATGTAACATGCTTCTTTCACACTGTGACAACTATCTATAGTGATACTAGTATCTGTCACAGTGTGAAGCTTTCACTTTTATTCTTGACCAATCAAAACGGTACTTCCTATTCACTGCATTCAAAGCCAGTGATCTTCAGCAGCAGAAGAAGCGAGAGTAAACCAGAATAAGGAGTTGTTTTGTTACATCATTGATACATACGCTACAGTACTTACTAAACAAAACAATTGAAGACAACTTGACATGATAACAACAGCAAACTGAAGAATTGCGTCAGCACTCGTAAAAAAATATAGGTAGCCTACCATATTCATTAAATAGATTTGTTATTCAGTGTTATTCAAAGGGAAGCCATTGGGTATTCTCTTTTTACTTTGAAGAACTATATACATTATGATGAAATTTTCTAAATAGTCACATTCCTTTTGAAACATCCCATATGCTTTGATATACTGTAAATCTTATTAGGAGTGGTCAATAGAAGTTGATATAACTTGTTTTATACTTGTTGTGAAAGAAATAAAGTTTACGTTTTATTTATACTGGATTAATGTTTACCGGATTAATGTATCCGGATTAATGTTTACCGGATTAATGTTTCTAAAGAGTGTTTCAGTTTTAGTCTTCATCAATTTCTGCTGGCAGCAAGGGTACCTTAGATTGCGAGACATATCGTCTCATCTCCGGAACCAATTCACATTAACTGTATAGACATTTTGCGTGTCTCCTTTTGTTTTCTGCATAAGTTTTTCACAATATGTCATTGTTGATGACGATTGCCTCAAAATTGGCCGTATCTTACGTTGGGTTGTACTCCGGGTTCGCCATCATCTGATAATGTTTTATCCAGCCTACGGTTATTTCTTTGGACCATCAGCCTCTATTTCTAAGAACTTTGAAGGTTAATACGTTTGTGGAATGTTATTGTAGTTTTTTTCTGAGTGCATGTTTACTTCGTGTTTTTTGCTTGATATATGAGGACCGTTGGCGTTTGGTTCGATCTCTGGTATTATTGAATGGTAAGGATTCGGCTCCCGATCGACAGCGGGACCCTTGGATTTCGGAGATAGTTTCCACGATGAGTCTTTAGCACTATTTTCTTTTAAATGTGTATAATCCCCAAATATAGCTACAGTCTAACACAAAATGTATATATGCCTGACGATAGGAAACTTAATACTAGAGGAACTGGACCAAGACATTAATTCAGTTCTCTGAAATATGATATTTTTCGTGTGAATTTAGTTTAAAAATCCAACTGTTCTGATTGTTGCAACCATTGTGAGAATGCATGTCACGTTTTAGTGCCAGTTTGAAATTGTTTATAATACCACTTGTTATTAAATTGTTATTAGGAGATGATTTCATAAGTTTTTATACTTAGTGGACAATAAGATACGTCTAAATAAAAACCCTTACATTTACTTTGTACATTAACCATTTAATATTGCTTGCAACTGCAGCTGTTTTAGATTTCTTGTAACCTTTTTGCTTCCTCTTTTTCTCTCGCTGTCACTAGACAGTTTGTTTATTAGAAGGGAGACGTTATCATAGCGATTCTCCGTCCCCTAGCTGATGGTCAAACACAACTTTCAAGGGTGCTACATGTAAGTGTAAGCTCAGGCGGGAAGGTCTCATGTCATTGCTTGCTATGCTCATAAGTGTCGTGTCTGATGTGTCTTTTCTTCCGAGTATGTTACGCTTCGTGCCGAGAGGCATTCCGATTGGGAATGTCTGCAGGCGTATAAATGTGGGGGAGGAATACAAGCGTGGGAATGGAGTTGGATTAATTCTGCTTGACGACATGGTGCAATGTCAGGTTTCTGTTGGCACGATGGATATTTATAATTGATAATGTGTAGCACTGAACTAAGATGACTGTACAACAGATGGACAATACGAAGGGAGGAATATGTAGGCGTGGTGGTGGGTGAACAAAGTCGGTTATATTTTTTATGGTCTCAGCTTTGTCGCAAGATTTGTCATAGAGGTCAACTGCAGCAATACCAGATGTTTGACGCTTTCTGTATTGATCATGTGACTGCGAAGGATGTAGACGTCAAGGTCTTGGAGACGTTTGCAGCAAGTGTTGTGTGTTTAACTAAGAAAAAAAGAGTTCCATTGCTTTGGGATCATTGGCTTATTCTGATCAGTATTGTCGCCATCTTTAAAATATCACCAAGAAGAAGAGTCATAACATACTTAGATAAAACGATACATATCCATTTACAAAGTTATTTTTGTCAAGCTTGGGATGGAATGTGATTTAGAAATAGTTACAATGTTATCTGTATTGGATATAAGTTCATTAGCATTTAACATTACCAGAGTTCGTGAACATAAAATTGTCATATTTATGTCAAAATCATAAAGTTTACTAAGTGATCATGAATAGGGAATAAACAATGTTATTTGGGAAAGGTGGTGGGCAAGGGCATAACAAATATTCTATATAGCATAAATAACAATTATACATTTAGATCGGGTATGCACATTAAAATCTTCTAAACACTTCTGAACATCTCGTCACAATGTCCCCCGCTATATAGACATCATAGGCCTATACAAAATTGCATATTTTTTAAATGTTTTTTTAATTTTATTTAAGAGTTGTTTAAAAGAAATGACGTACTTCCGCTGTACGCAGTACATTGTTGTCTTGCTTACACGTAACATCTTTAGTGGAGGCATTGGGTCTGTTCACACCTCGTTATCTCAATTCTCATGTCCCATGTGTAACTATTGGATACAAACAAAATTGTAGATAGGAAGTCCAAGGTGTTGAGAGATTATAATTCTTCCTATCGGTAGAGGGCTCTCTACTTGTCGTTTCCTTCACTCAATTAAAACCCCAACAGTCCAGAGCTAATTGACTTTCCTCGTTTTCTCTTACCGAATCTATTGTATCGATACAATAATGCAAGTTATATCACAGCCTATCAGATAAGGATAAACAAACACTTTGTCCTTTTATATATCAGCCAATCAGATGACTCGTTGTATTGAGGTTTGACACGTACAAACTCGGCCGTGTTGTCTCTGACTCTTTTACATGATGAAGGTTGTCTTCTGATCTCATCAATGATTCATAAGAAACAAGTGTAGTGTTTTAAAACCGAGATAATATTGTGTGTTAACTGAAATATCGTTGTTTCCTAAAATGTCGATCGTGTGAGGAACGTTTTGAAATTGAGATGATATATGTGTGTACGTACTTAAATCCGTATGTGAGGATTCTTTTTAAAATTGAGATAAAGTTATTTGTGTTTACTGTATAGTGATACGTATGGGAAAGTCGTGTTGATATATGAATATCAGTTCTGATGGCATAAACAAACTACATGTGAGGGTTTAGTGGTTCAACTCTCGCCCAGATTTCAACTTAAAGAGAAAAGGCACCGAAAAAAATCGAAATAAGCAGGGTCACTAGAAAGCAGTACTCACAATTATGTCGAATAATAACAAGCTTAACATATACGTCAATATATATAGGGAAACACGATTTTTAGATACCATACATACAAAATCGTCCTGACATTTTATACGTAGGTATAATTTAAACATCAATATATAATTCAATACTTAAGTATACTACCGTAGATACCCGAATACTTACAAAATAGGTGTGATGTCCCAAAAATATTCGAAACGACGTCATGATCATGGGTTTTATTTTTGTTCTTACAGATACTGACATCACATATCAACCTTCCAAGAGAAATGGAGACGGGTTATCGTCCCTTTGTCCCGGAGGTGTTAACAAACTCCGATGTATACATTCCTACCTAAGCCTCTACGCCAGAATCCAGAACGGACTCACAGATCCAGTTTCTGTCAGAAACATCGGCAAACGAAATATGCCATACGACAAAAAGGGAGTACTCATGTGCCCTGCCGGCATGGATAAATTTCAATGTTATGATAACGCTATCGAGTACTACATCCGGGTAATGAAGACGATGTCATCCTAATAAACAGTGATGACGTCAAAACGTGACGCATATGCAGAATGTGATGATGAGGACTTTGTTGTATTTTTCGTTCAAATTTATTTGGAAGTTGTTTAGGCAGGTGAAAATGGGTGTATTAATAAAGTATTTTTGAGATTAATTTTTCAAAGAAAATTTTGTTATTCATTTTGCAAAAGGATACTAAGGGAAAGGTTCTGTGACGCTTTGATTGATATTTTAACTAGTGTCAGCTGTTGTCTATAAAACGCTACTTTCTAAGAATATCTTGGTTCACGTAACATTTAAACTTTTATGAAAATGTATTAATGTGAATGAAGGTATTATCATCAAAATATTTTATTTTTTTTAAAAAGAAAAAAAAAATCTCAGAAACTGGTTTTGTGAAATCTACTGTTGTCTAAGATCGAGAATTCAGGGATCTGTACAACTCCCTTATGGAGTACATTGTAAAACAAAGCCAGCTTTTCCAAATAACAAACTCACGGGAATTATACAAAAATATTTATATGATTGAAATACAAATAAAAAAAATAGACTTAAGGTGTCATAACACAGCATACACAACATACGCTATGTATCATGCTGAACGCGTATGTGGCTGAAAAGACAGAGATTGACAACATCTGACGGACCATCATCGGACACATCCTGACACAATCTGACTGGCCCCGGTCAGAAAGAGCCTAACAAAGTCTGACGGACCACCATCGGACACATCTTGACAAAATCTGACAGGCTCCGGTCAAAAATAGCCTCGCAATGTCTGACTGACCACCATCTATCGGACTCAACTTGACGCAGTCTGTGGACGACTGCCCGAATAGTCTCCACAGTCGGCACCATTGATATGACAATAAAGTTTACGCGTCGCTCATGTTTACCAGAAGACAGGCATAGACAAATGTGGATAAAGAAAATGATTATGAAAGAAAGGATAATTTAAATTGTGAAGACCAATGTAGATCTTATACCAGAATCCAAAGCGTTTGCGGTGCTTACCAGGACTTCACATGTGGTTCTGTTGACATGCAAGTATGGAGTGCATAACGAAGGTCATCACGTATTAGTTTCAATGTTATTAACTTTAGTTCAATGTATTCACCTTACCAGCTAGTAGGTTAAGGTCATTACGCCATCAACTTATCTTCAAGGTCATCATGTCATCAGCTACAAGTTATCGTTACTCGCGTTATCAGCTTGTAGGTCAATGTCATCAATTACTCACATCATCAGCTTATGGTTCAAGGTCATCATGTGATTAATTAGTATGTCAATGTAATCATGCCATCCCGTTATAAAGCAATAGCTCAAGGTCATTACGTCATCAGATAGTAGTTCATGGTCATCATTTCATCAGCTGTTAGGCCATGGTCATTACTTCGGTAGCTAATAGCTCAGAGGCCATGGTCATTACTTCGGTAGCTAGTAGTTCAAAGTCATTACGTCACCAGGGACCACTTGTATAAAAACACCTCAAAGCTGAGACAAATCTCAAGCAATGTATTATCTATGGGAAATCTTAGACAAGAGGAAATCTCAAGAGTTGTGATTTTTATACAAGTGGGGCCTGGTACTCAGTGGTAGGTCAAGGTCATCACGTCATTTGCTGGAAGCTCAAGGTATTAACGTCATCAGCTAAATAGTCAAGGTCATTACGTAATAAGTTCGTAGATCAAGGTCGTTGCGTCATCAGCTTATATTTGAAGGTCGTTACGTCATCAGCAGATAGTTGAAGGTCGTCCATCAACCGGTAATAACTCAATTTCATGTCGTTATCCAATTACAAGTAAGGCCATTACGTTTTAAGCCAGTCAATGTCAAGGTCAACAGATAGTTCAAGTTCATTACGTCACTAAGTTATATTTCAGTACCTGATGGCATGTTACCTAAAGTTATAAAAAAAAGTTAAAACCATCCTTAATACTCCCACTTACAATTTTATTTAACAAAACTTTATCCAACGGGTGCATTCCTTGGCCATGGAAGATGACTAGTGTTAGTGATGTATAAAAAAAAGGAGTTAAATCTTAGAAAAAATAAAATTCAAATATTTATATAACTATTAAAAAACTAATGATATACTTCCCAATGACCAATCGCGCTTTAAACGAGGTGATTATACCACACCATAGTTAGTAACCCTGATAAAGGGGGAAATTAAGGTTTGTATTTTGCGACACCAAAAGCCTTCGGCTCGGGGTCTATAAAAACCAGACGGGGTGTATGAGCCCGTAGACCCCTCCTAACCCAGAGATAACTACTAATATACCCCGCTCTGCCGGGGTCTATAAAAGCAAGTGCGTGGGGAGATAACTCAGACTAGAATATCTCTTCATAGCAACAAAGATGGCGTCCGACACACACAAGCGTTCGAGGTGTGTCAATCATTCATAGGATAAAATAGCCTACTTAATTGACAGCAAATTTAAACAAACAGGCAATGAGGGGGCCGCTAGGGTGATAATTACAAAGATGGGTGTGTATTGTCCGAAATGTTGCCGAAAAGATGTCCGGTAGGGGCTATTTTGGTAGCAGTTAAGTAAGGTGACCCAAATCGGATCACCAAACTATCATCACCAGGACCCAAATCGGATCAAGGCTTGCATTTTGCAGTATCTTACACTTCAAATGAATATTTTTTTGTCAGCATATTAACATTTTATGATGACCTTTAGAATTTATATGACAAAAAGTATTTCTATAGTGTGTATTTTTTCCTATAGTCCAAAACAGGATGCATAGTCGTCGCACGTCGCGCCTTTTTTTTTAAAAAAAAACGTAATCAAAACACTAACATTTGAGTTTGAATTACGTTTTCTGGTGCTATTCGAACTTAAAAACTAATCATCTGTAGACAAATAAAGGTTACATGGCTATCTATTCTTAGGCTACATCATTGTTATAACTGTTTTGTTGACAATTTATTGATTTATAATTATTTTTGCAAAAAAGTGATCCGATTTAGGTATTGTCGCCTTACAACTCAAACTCACACAGTGACGTATCACTTCGCACAAAAAAAGTAAAAGACTATCTAAACGATTGTCATGGTGACAAGTTCGTTATCTCTGGGTTAGGAGGGGTCTACTGGCTCATAGACCCCTTTGTTTTTTATAGACCTCTCGCCTTCGGCTCGGGGTCTATAAAAACCAGACGGGGTCTATGGTTTGAGAATTATCTTGAAGATAGAAAACAGAGAGTACTAACTGAAGGTCATTTTTCTACTTTTAGGGTTCTTAATGCCGGTGTTCCACAGGGATCAGGTCTCGGTCCTTTTATTATTTATTTTATACATTAATGACATCACTGATATAATCCAGAGTAACACTAAGCTTTTTGCAGACGATACATCCTTATATGTTATCGTAGACGAAACCCCACAACTAGCAGCAGATTAGCTTAACCAAGACCTAAATAAAATAAAATTTAACCCCTCTAAAACCAAATCACTATTTTTTTTTCTAGAAAAGGGATACTATCTATCCTCTAATTAAGTTCTCTAATACTTTTATCGATAATGCCCATGATCCCAAACATCTTGGATTAACTTTTTCTGAAGATGGCACTTGATCTACCCATGTTCAATTAATATATGAAAAGACTAGTAAAGGAATGACTATGCTTAGGTACCTGAAATATAAGATTGATTGGATATCACTATGCAAAACTCTCATTAAAGAACTAGGCTGGGAATCTCTGTCTGATCGAAGGATGATCATGAACCATAAGCTAATTCAGGTGTATAAAATAACTAATAAATTATCGCCCACATACCTCCATGACAGAATTGATCCTCTTATTCATAACAGAGAAATGATCGGTATACTCTAAGAAATGTAAGAATGTTTAACCCGCCATTATGTCGTACAGAACCTATGCTAAAGGTTTCTTTCCAGTAATGTGCAACAAGTTCAATAGTACATTTCCCCTACTCTAAATAAATTTAAGGCCAATGTATATAATGAAATATATTTCTATAATAATATCAAGGATGTATTTAAAAAATGTGAAAGCAGAAAGGGTAACATAATCTTATGTCAACTGAGAAATGAGGCGAGTAACCTGAACCATGAGTCTCCATCTTGTCTGTTATCTGTCACCCAGATTGCATTCATATTGGCTGTAACTGCAATCTGACAGACGTTCAATCTTAATTACAATGTCCAATGTATTATGATGAGAGACAGACTCTAATAAATGAGATTTTTGAAGTGTGTCCGGTTAATCTTGACACTAAAATACTTCTTAATGGAAGTACAGTGTTAAACAATAGTGAAAATAAATCTATACTTAATAGTGTTCTTAGATATATAAACAACACAAAAAGACATGTTTAATTAATTTGAACAATCGATAAATTTTGTTATTGATAAAAGATACTGTCCTTAAACCATTATCTGATGCATTGATGTTTATACTATATACCTAAAGGAAGATGCTTTGGGTGTTGTTTTTAGTGATGGGTGATATAAAGTAAAACACAAATGTGCTAAGTTTTAATACTAAAGTGTTTTGTGGTTGTATCTGAATTCTTCTCGAGTGGATGATATGTGAACGGTAAAGGCCGTTAGCGACTTTTTGTCTGAAACTTGATGGGAAGAAAGATTTACACATAGAACACTGGTAATACATCTAACACATATACTACATGTATTTCAAAATCTTCTAGCTGAATTGCCTCGTTTTCGTTGTTGTTGTATCTCTTGTTGTTTCCCTTGTTATACTGATGCAACATAGTTTAGCAGCAGGTATGACCAGGAGGCAAGGGAATCGTACTGTATGTTGATAGCAGTAACTCGATATATAGTATGTCGACATATCATGTTAATAACAGTAACTCGATATATAGTATGTCGACATATCATGTTAATAACAGTAACTCGATATATAGTATGTCGACATATCATGTTGATAACAGTAACTCGATATATAGTATGTCGACATATCATGTTGATAACAGTAACTCGATATATAGTATGTCGACATATCATGTTGATAACAGTAACTCGATATATAGTATGTCGACATATCATGTTGATAACAGTAACTCGATATATGGTATGTCGACATATTATGAATATCATTAACATAGGATAAAGATAGTTACAGAAGATATCTTATCTCAATATCCAGTATATCGTGTTCCATGGTATTTCCTTCATTTACTGAATTAGCATAAGCTGACATAGTTGCTTCAATTAATTATCTCAAGATATATTACCTGACATAGCAGGAAACATGTTGGTATCTCGAAATATTTTTTGTTGTGATGTATATTAATAAGTCTATATCTAATGGCAAGTATACGCTTCCGTAGGGGGCATTAGTGACTTACATAAAAAGAAGATTGTAACAATTCCTCTGTTTATATATCGTTGGAGCATTGCTTGTCTATTACTAATTCATTTCAATTGACTTTTAATAAGAGTATCGTTTATCTCATAATATCAATTAAGTATTTATATATAAATGAAACACACATGTATTTATCTCCCCTATACAATTTGCTATATAGACAAAGGATTTATGCTACTTATGATATATATTTTACATCAATATTTTCTTATTAATCGTTTCATTGCTATCTTTGTCATGTCAACCTAAGGAGAGAACTTATATAGGCCTAGCCTGCTGTTCAATCCTATTGTTTACTCAATAAAATATAAAGAAATGAAGTAATAGTTTAAGTCATCCCTTCAGCACCTATAGAACGTAAAGATCATTACGTCATTAGCTATAATAGGTCAAGGTCATTTCGCCATTATCTAAACTTTCAAGGTCATCATATCATCAACTAGTCATGCATTGAAGGTCACATCGCTTTGTGTTTAATGTTTAAGGTCTTCTCCTTCATCGACTCATGCATTACCTGTACTTTGCTTTATAGTAACGAGTGTTTTATCGATTGACCTCTGTTTCATAAAAAAGAATAGAAATCAGTCTGTTGCATCTGACAAAACATAGGAGTAACAAGAGCTTACTTTTTAATAAAACTCTGTCAAACGTACGTGTATTGATATATCATATTTAAAAGTTCAAACCCGATGTGAATGTCACAGCATTTGTATTATTGTTTCAACTTCTGGAACCTTCTATTTTTTCTCTAGGTTTCATTTACAGGCAGAATGTTGAACGCTAATGTATTTCAATGTGTATACGTTAATCAAAATTCGATAAAAGATCAAAGAAATAGTCAGATGTATTGAGTGATACAACTGGGGATATAGAGGAGACGAGCACCTGCTTAAGGAGTTCTACATACTCCGTTGTGATCTTATTATTGTTTGTAAGCCAGCACAATTATAAGGAAGCTTCACTAAGCTTATGCTGTCTGCTTTAAGTGAGAAAGATAAATGGTTTACCTACTCTTTACTGATGACGCTGGCTGACCAGAAGTTCAAATGCTCGAAGAATTTCGATCACAATCTTTACCTTGGACAGGAAATACGTCATACACCAGCACGTGCAACACCCACAGTTAAGTGTACTATTTACGTATGTTTGTATAGTATTAAGGTTACTATGTAGGAAAATCAGAGAGAGGCATTTACACGCTAATACATGGTACAAGTTAATCGCTAACGTCACAAACTATCATACAAACCTATACGATCATACAAACCTGTACTTTCATACAAACCTATACGATCATACAAACCTGTACTCTCATACAAACCTGTACTCTCATACAAACCTGTACTATCATACAAACGTATACTATCATGCAAACCTATACTATCATACAAACTTATACTATCATACAAACCTGTACTATCATACAAACCTGTACTATCATACAAACGTATACTATCATGCAAACATGTACTATCATACAGACCTATACTATCATACAAACCTGTACTATCATACAAACCTATACTATCATACAAACCTGTACTCTCATACAAACGTGTACTCTCATACAAACCTGTACTATCATACAAACCTATACGATCATACAAACTTATACTATCATGCAAACATGTACTATCATACAAACCTGTACTATCATACAAACCTATACTATCATACAAACCTGTACTATCATACAAACGTATACTATCATACAAACTTATACTCTCATACAAACGTGTACTCTCATACAAACCTGTACTATCATACAGACCTATACTATCACACAAACCTGTACTCTCATACAAACCTGTACTATCATACAAACGTATACTATCATACAAACCTTTACGATCATACAAACCTGTACTTTCATACAAACCTATACGATCATACAAACCTGTACTATCATACAAACCTGTACTATCATACAAACCTATACGATCATACAAACCTGTACTATCATACAAACCTGTACTATCATACAAACCTATACGATCATACAAACCTGTACTATCATACAAACCTGTACTATCATACAAACCTATACGATCATACAAACCTGTACTATCATACAAACCTGTACTATCATACAAACCTATACGATCATACAAACCTGTACTATCATACAAACCTGTACTATCATACAAACCTATACGATCATACAAACCTGTACTACCATACAAACTTATACTATCATACAAACCTGTACTATCATACAAACCTGTACTATCATACAAACGTGTACTATCATACAAACGTATATTATCATGCAAACATGTACTATCATACAGACCTGTACTCTCATACAAACCTGTACTCTCATACAAACCTGTACTATCATACAAACCTGTACTATCATACAAACCTGTACTCTCATACAAACGTATACTATCATGCAAACATGTACTATCATACAAACCTGTATTATCATACAAACCTATACGATCATACAAACCTATACTATCATGCAAACATGTACTATCATACAAACCTGTACTATCATACAAACCTATACGATCATACAAACCTATAGTATCATGCAAACATGTACTATCATACAGACCTATACTATCATACAAACCTGTACTCTCATACAAACCTGCACTCGCATACAGACCTGTACTCTCATACAAACCTGTACTCTCATACAGACCTGTACTCTCATACAAACCTATACTATCATACAAACCTGTACTATCATACAAACCTATACTATCATACAAACCTGTTCTCTCATACAAACGTATACTATCATGCAAACATGTACTATCATACAAACCTATACGATCATACAAACCTATACTATCATGCAAACATGTACTATCATACATACCTATACTATCATACAAACCTGTACTATTATACAAACCTATACTATCATACAAACCTATTCTATCATACCAACTTATACTATCAAACAAACCTGTACTCTCATACAAACCTGTACTCTCATACAAACCTTTATTATCATACAAACCTATATTATCATACAAACCTATACTATCATACAAACCTATACTATCATACAAACCTGAATTCTCAAACAAACCTGTACTCTCATACAAACCTGTACTCTCATACAGACCAGTACTCTCATACAAACCTGTACTCTCATACAAACCTGTACTCTCATACAAACCTGAATTCTCATACAGACCTGTACTCTCATACAAACCTGTATTCTCATACAAACCTTTATTATCATACAAACCTGTACTCTCATACAAACCTGTATTCTCATACAAACCTGTACTCTCATACAAACCTGTACTCTCATACAAACCTGTACTATCTTACAAACCTATATTTTCATACAAATCTGTACCCTCATACAAACCTATACTATTATACAAACCTATACTATCATACAAACCGATGCTATCATACAAACCTATACTAGCATACAAACCTGTATTCTCAAACAATTGGTTGGGAGAAAATTAAACAAAAATCTCTGTCACCCTCCGAAAATACATTGGTTTTAAGGGGCGCGGGTGATATTGCCATGAGACAGAGAAAAATATCACATGCGCGAAAAATGTGCTTTCACCGCTTCGCTTCCCCGGCGTGACGGTCACAAGAACGTTTGACGGCAACAGCCAATTTAATCAAGCGCCGGTGCGATAGCGATTGTAAACAGCAGACTATTAACAAACAAGATGTCATTATCGAGGTTTGCTGCCGTTTCTGAGCTACAAAGACTTTTGGTGTAACAAAATAGATATGACATTCGTTAGCAGGTGACAGTGAATATAGTTAACCCTCAAAACCCCATTGTCACCCTCGGCTTCGCCTCGGGTACAATGGTTTTCTCGGGTTGACAATATTCACTGTCACCTGCTAATGAATGTCATATTTATATAATATAATATTTTTAACGAAAAATAGAAAAGGATCACAAAGTAAAGTCCTAGTATCCCTGAAGGTTATCCACTATTACTCGGTTGTCAGGAAGCGAACAGCTGATCAAGATAAGAAACTGATCAAGGCACGTGATGCATGATAAGCCGGTTTGAGGAATACACCGATTATTTCCCAGTTAGGCAAAGTCAACGACCTCTATTTTTCATAAAGAGGTATTTGCGTAAGTGCTGTGTCGGTTTTCTGATGTCATCCATTCTTGACCTCCCATTAAACATTCATCTTTTTCTCGCCGTGAACACACCACGCAGATTAAGAACGCTGATCTAAGGGTCAGTCTCAATAAAACCTTCATTCAAAAACTGCCATTTCCTATGGGTAATATCACAATCTTCATCCCCTTTCCAACGATTCGTCATTTTGCATTGGTATTAGATTAATATTTCTCCGTTTTGGCGTTATGACGTAATCAGAATAAAACAGGTTGATGTCATTACGTGGTTCATGCACATTCATTTATACATGTATATTGTTCCTACATGCATGCAAGGTTTTTTTTCTTTGAACTTACATTAGAAACATTGCTAATTGGATAAAAGCTTTGTTAAACCTACCAACCAACATTGTTTTTATTAACCAGTTTCAACAAGAACTATTACACGTGATCTATACATGTAGCTAGGGTAATCGGTAAAAAATAAATGGTGCAATAATAAATGATAACTGTGATGATCTAAGTTAAACAAGTGCTTGTATGCTTGTAGTATTACTGCGAGTAAGTACCCGTATGTTTGTGGTTATATTGTGATTAGATACCCATCTGTTCGTAGTAATACTGTGGTCATAATTACCCGTATGTTCGTAGTAATACTGTGGTCATAATTACCTGTATGTTCGTAGTAATACTGTGGTCATAATTACCCGTATGTTCGTAGTAATACTGTGGTCATAATTACCCCGTATGTTTGTATTATTACTGCGAGTAAGTAACCGTATGTTTGTGGTTATAATGGGATTAAGGACCTGTATGTTCCAAGTAATACTGTGGTCATAAGTACCCGTATGTCTGTGATTATAATGGGATGAAGTACCCGTATGTTTGTAGTATTACTGTGATTAAGTATCCGTATGTTTGTGGTTATAATGGGATTAAGGACCTGTATGTTCCAAGTAATACTGTGGTCATAAGTACCCGTATGTCTGTGATTATAATGGGATGAAGTACCCGTATGTTTGTAGTAATACTGTGATTAAGTACCCGTATGTTTCTGGTAATACTGTGTAAATAAATTTTATTGCTTTTTATTTTTACAGCAATAGGATCGGGCACAACAACAATCATTACACAAAACATTTTAAAAACGCGATTCATCAAAATGTGTGAAAGGTTTGCAAAAACCAAATACATTTATCTCAGTAATTTAATTTGAAAGGTTGCTTGACAGAGAGAGAGAGAAGAAAGAGAGAGAGAGAGGGAGAGAGAGATTATGTGAGAGAGGGAGAGGAAGTGTTTGATTTAATTAATTGTTTAAAAACTCGGAAGACTCATTTCCAAAACGTAATACTTCTCAATTGATTACAGGATAAGATCTTAGTTTACTATACATTTTGCTTCTTTCATTTACATATAAAGGACAGTCAAAAACATAGTGAAACGTATTTTTACATGGGTTTCCGCACAAGCATTCCGGACTTAACTATAAATAAATCATTCTGTAACGCACTATATAATTATGTCTCAGCTTTGTATGTAGTATATTTATGTATCTCGTTCCTTGGTTATAATATGTAGGGGGTTTAGAATGTTCTGGAGTGGTAGCCTTTTCAAACCTTGAGACGGATGGGAGGTTTCTTATATTTACTGTAAGATTATTCCATGCACGTATAGTAGATGGTATGAAAGACGAATGGGACCCTACAAGTCTGATACTGTGATCATACATGTAAATACACGTTTGTTTGTGGTTATACTGTGATCATACATGTAAGAACACGTTTGTTTTTATACTGTGATCATAAGTACCCGTAAGTTTTAAGTAATACTGGGATCATAAGTTTTAAGGTAATACTGTGATCATACATGTAACTAGACGTTTGTTTGTTTTTATACTGTGATCATAAATACCCGTAAGTTTTAAGGTAATACTCTGATCATAGATGTAAGTACGCGTTTGTTTGTGGTTATACTGTGATCATGGGTACCCGTAAGTGTTAAGGTAACATTGTGATCATACATGTAAGTACACGTTTGTTTGTGGTTATACTGTGATAACGTTTGTTTGTTTTTATACTGTGATCATAAGTACCCGTAAGTTTTAAGTAATACTGTGATCATAAGTTTTAAGGTAATACTGTGATCATACATGTAAGTACACGTTTGTTTGCTTTTATACTGTGATCATAAATACCCGTAAGTTTTAAGGTAATACTCTGATCATAGATGTAAGTACACGTTTGTTTGTGGTTATACTGTGATCACGTTTGTTTGTTTTTATACTGTGATCATAAGTACCCGTAAGTGTTAAGGTAATACTCTGATCATACATGTAAGTACACGTTTGTTTGTGGTTATACTGTGATCACGTTTGTTTGTGTTTATACTGTGATCATAAGTACCCGTAAGTTTTAAGGTAATACTCTGATCATACATGTAAGTACACGTTTGTTTGTTTTTATACTGTGATCATACATGTAAGTACACGTTTGTTTGTGGTTATACTGTGATCATAAGTACCCGTAAGTGTTAAGGTAATAATGTGATCATATATGTTAGTACACGTTTGTTTGTGGTTATACTGTGATCACGTTTGTTTGTGGTTATACTGTGATCACGTTTGTTTGTGGTTATACTGTGATCACGTTTGTTTGTGGTTATACTGTGATCACGTTTGTTTGTGGTTATACTGTGATCACGTTTGTTTGTGGTTATACTGTGATCACGTTTGTTTGTGGTTATACTGTGATCACGTTTGTTTGTGGTTATACTGTGATCACGGGTACCCGTAAGTGTTATCTAAAATCCCTTATCAGAGATAACAAACAATCAAAAATTCAGTTCACATTGTTTTAATATTCTTTCAACAATCTGTTGTCTTTATGCTATGTTTGGCGATTGTGGACATGGCTTCGTCACCAAAAGGTTACCACCCAAAATTGTGTTTGGTGCCTCCTCAAATAAATTAGATAAATGTGTGACAAGATCTGTCAATAGGCTATATAAAGAAATGACTCTGTGGGCAGCCGTCATTTTGAGTAGCTGTAATTTAAAGAAAAATAAACACTACATACTTATTATTCCTGGTGGCAACCTCTAACCCGCCACATGACAAGGACCGCAGATAGAAGTAAAGTGCGCGCTTTGATTTCTACAGTTCTCTCTCGGTACTAGGCACCGCCACCAGAAATTATCTCGTTCCAAATTTTTGCAAAACTGCAAATTGACTTGCAACACTAAACCAATTTCAATAAATGTGAAAAACATTTTAGTGGGCATAGTTTTGCCAGCAATTAACCCCCTTTTAATGTTAAATTAGCAAGGAATACTTGCTCATAGCCACAAAATTTAGCAAACAAAGTTTCAAAGTTGCAGGAAAATCACTGCATAACAAACAAATTTGCAAATTTGCAGGAAACATCTTTGCCGTGAACGACTCCAAAATACACCCTTTCTCTAAGCAGAGATGGAAGGGTAGCTAAAGCAGCCAATGCCACAATCACCAGTGCACTGTAGTCTATCAACCACTGAATTGGTATTGACTGCAAAAAAATAACCACCTTTTAAACCCTGATAATACAAGACACCTGTGCAAAACCGAATTAAACTGGAACCTAGTGACCGGTTTGTCCCCAAAATGACAAAACAATGGACCCCCATCTTCTGGGAGGACTGACAAGTATTCTCCGACTCGTTTAACCGGACAAGGTGCTGTGCCTGATGGAAACTCTGAAGCTACCCCTTTACCTCCGGGATTTTCCTACCATGTTTTCTCCGGTTCCAGGGTCCAATGAATTGGGATATTTTTCACGGTAGTGATTATTTATCTAAAATCCCTTATGTTTTAGAGTTCCGTGTTTTAGCATCATTTTACATGTTTTTCGCTATGCGTGTCAAATATCACACCCGCCTTCAACACGTCATGTCGATAAATTGATTCCAATAAAGATTTAAATCAGAGCTAGTGTTACTGTAAAATATGCTAATTTTCATTGCGTTTTGAATATAGCGAATATTTTAGGTTTTACATATTTCAACAAACATCCGGCTTTTAATCATGTATTAACAACGAACGGGGGATTGATAAAAGAGAAAACACACACACTCCCATTTATTTATTCATCATTCTAGCTAGAGTGAGCTACGAACACAATCTCTGTTGTTATCGTTTTGACTCGATGCTCTTGTTTCAGGCGAGGAGGGGTAAATTACACATAAAACTATAACGCGTGACCACCGTCAGGTAGAACTGATCAGACAGAAATCATTTCGAATGGATCATATATAGATAATATCGTATTAAAATGCTTTTTTCCCCACGTTGGTTTTAAAACAAATTTATCTTCAACAGCCTATTGCATGAACATGATAGCACGCTAAAAGTACGTCAACTCCAGAAAATCCAACCTATTGAACCTCATGAATCCATTATGTATGTTATATTTGTGAAACATGAGATATATACCTCTTCCACCTTCTCGAATTTTCAAATAAGCTTAAAAATGACGGAGCATTAATCATTAGTCTATCGTACAATGAGAAGCAAATTATCGAATCGATCTCATTTCCACATCGAGACGTTTAAGGGTGAACCCTAGTTTGCTACGAGCGAAGGTGTGGATTTATTTGACATGGAAACATTATAATGACGTTTGGTCATAAATAATGGTTCCATATAACTGCGTTCACAATAAACAACAGAAGTTTGACTTTTTAAACAAACAATGTACGTGTTAAACGTGTCGCAACGTTCCCTTCGTCAAGCTATCAATTGTTTGAGTAAAAAGGAAAACTTTGATTTCAAATACCGGGCGACATTCTATTTATCTGTCACCCAAATTGCATTCATATCGACTGTATACTGCATCTGGTAATAGTTCATTGCCTATATTTACATTTATATGTATATAGTTTGTTTTGTTTAGTAACTGAAGCAAAAATACGTTGGAATGTCCCGCTTATCATATCAGCGACGTCAGTAAGTTCAAATCCCAGAACAGCCGACATTTCCAGAAGAAATAATATAGACCCTCGTGTCATTGAAAATCACACGCACATAAAATGGTTTGAACACAAACTTAACTTTATTATTTATTTCATATGAGTGTGTATATGTTTAAAAATTGTTAATGATTGCATAACTTCTGCTTGTTTAAAATTAAAATTGTTTTTCGCGCATTGATAGATTACATGTATTTTGAAGTGATGCGGCGCCGAACGGACTTGATTGGTTTCCTCGGAAACGCTTATGTTTCCTTCGACTGGAATATTACGTTATTTTCAGAAGCATATATACTCGGAAACGTTTAATTAAAGTGGTCCTTTCAGTAGGTGATAACGAAACCAAGGACATTTCGTTAGAAATAGATTCCATGTCTAATCGGTCAGATTAGCATCGCTAGCAGACGACGTTCACAGGGGCTCGGTTTCGTGATTTTGAGTAATGGATGACATCACTGAAAAACCACAACACTTAAAAAGGTATTTATACACATTTTTAAACCTTGTAGATACCTTCGACTTTTACAAGGTTTTAGAAATGCTGAATTTTAGTGTTGTGGTTATTCACTGATGTTATGCTTAACTCAAAATCTCGAAACCGATCCCCTGTGTGATGACGTTGACTAAACTTGGTAATTTCGTATCTAGAATGGCGCTTACAATAATTTTGTGGTACCTACACATCTTATAATAAATTGATATCGTCATAATTTGTCAAGTTGCTTTATTTGTATGTGATGACCTATATTACTAAATGCTAACGAACCCAGAATGTTTTCCGACTATAGGCCTATTGATCCCGAAAGTATCGGGCGGCCATGTTTGTTTACCTTGTACCAGCTGTACTCCTACACTAGCCGTATCACTGTAAATTGTAGTATACAGTCTCATATACTCTAATTTGGTTTACTAACGACATATAGGCAAATGCAACACAGAATGTAAATATATGTCTGTAGGAATACTGTGGTAATTGTCTAAGCTTTGCAAGTACTGTTATGCTTGTAAGTTTTATTTTATGAAGTTACCTTCATTCAATGACTTTCATTTCATTATTTTACATATTTTTGTCACGCTCCAAAACTATTGCCCGCCTTCTCGACAC